AGTAGACTAATTGTTTATCTCGACCGAACGACTTAGACTATTGCACATATAAGTCACATTTTAAATGACGTTTGATATTTATTCATTATTCTGATAAGATTATTTTTACTGTTGTTACGAGAGTACAATATATAAACAACTTAACGAACATCATTTTTGCAACACTGTTGTATAGATTAAGTATGACATAAGAAGTGATTGCTAATATCAAACAAAATTAGATGCCATTGCAATCTTAATATTGGGTCAATCATGTAGTTTTAGGTATGTGTTATCGGCCTATGAGAGCCCACTGCTGAGCAAAGGTCTTTTCTAACATGGAGAAGGTTTGAGCATTAATCACCACGCTTGCACAAGACTGGTTGGTGATTTCAAACTTATCGGCCTTCAAGTAATAGTATCTTTATGAATCACATAACCCGGAAATATCTTGAAATGAGCAAAAATATTAATATCTTTCAATAAATCACATACATTAATGTAATACTAAATTATTCAAAATTGTCTTAGTGACTCCAAGATCTTCATAAAAACCGCATCTTGTAAGCTAACAGTACCACGGTTAGGTTAATATAAAAGGAAAAGGAAAATAATATTTCATTATCCGAGAAGTTGCCTTAAATTGTATATGGTTAGGAAACACAGACGGACCGGTTTAAAAATAAGGTTTGAGTACCTCCGCCTCTTTTACGTAAGTATAACACACTAGTTTAAAAAAATTATACAGAAAACTAGTTAATTATAACCAACCAATCTTAATATTACATAAATACACTGTACAAATCTCCAAGCATTTTTTTAAATAGAACATTTTAAACAATATATCCTCTACTTTGAAACGTTCATAATTTATAATAAACTTTTAATACTTAGTAATTTGCTGGTATTTGTCCATTTATTTAATATAAATGACATCAAATAATATTATTTGATAGCTATTGTTATGTATTATAAATTGTATCCCATGAAATTTGTGTTGTTTATTTGTTAAAACAAATAAATAAATTCAATTCATGGTTTTACATTTATTATTCCGAAAACCTGTGTGAAAATTTTAAATTGAGTTTTTAATAAAAATAAAATGAATTTAAATTGTTTGACGATATGAAAGAATGTATACATGTATATAATCGATTTAAATGTCATAAAATTATTTGTATTAGTACTACGAACATGCAACGTGAGGTCGTGACGTCTGTAATGTAGTAGTGTTAAATGAGTTTTAAAGGAGTACAATACTAGTGGCATGTGATCGTTGCGAGGAGACTAATAACAAACATGTGAAATCGATAATTTAAATGTGTCCTGAATTATGAACGAAAAATAAATCTGAGAATATACACTAGTTAAAAAAACTGTATATATATATTTTTTAATATTGTGTGACTACTTTCTGTATTTCAAGGTCAAAGGACTGCTCCAAATCTTCGACTGCTCCAGGGTTAAGTTTAAAAAGAACTCATGAGTGCAAGCGTTTCTGTGCATATTCTATTCTACACTTCTAATTAAAATTTGTTTATATACAGGAAAAGTCTTGGTACATTGCAGTGTAATATATCAACCGAAGGAAATTCTATAATCACTTACAAGATACAGAACTATGACTTCTCACGATGGCGGGTAATTTATATTTTCACAGTTGTAAAATTTCAGAATGCACTTTCCTGGTAACAACCGCCTCAACAGTCTTACTTAGTATAAACCTTCATTTATTCATGATGCCCCAACACTTCTAAGAAGCCATTTATTTTTGACTTGTGACGCCATCAAAGACGATCACCTCATCACCAGCGAAAGTCTCACATTAGCCACATCGTCTATTCAAACTTTGCAACAGTTCGACGAGAATCAAATTGAAAAACACCTTCTTTCTGAAACATCAGCTTGTACGTAACTTTCCTCAATTTTTAATATGGTCTTCCATATTGATTAGGAATCCCCTTTAGCTTAGGGTAGCTTGATATTGGGAACCAGACTATGGAAGGCGTCCTCCCTGCTCTGGCAATTGGTCCAAACTAGTAGAAACTGTTGTATTACGCTGCACTTACTTCTTGATACTGTAATCATCTCTAAGATCTCTAACACTATCAAGTTGCCAATAAGACTGTTCATACTAGAATTTGTGTGGTAATTCGTGAATAACTTTTCTTTATTATTTTTGTGGCTTTCTTCTATGGGTGTGGAAAGTAAGCTATCTTTAAAATCTTTTTGTACATGGATGGCAAGTAATAAATTGAATTATTCTCGTAATTAAAATAAAACTAAACACACATCCAAAAGTATTATGTAAAGAATATTAATATCAACTTTATCAGATTTTCACCAGTAGCTATTTATAATTTAAATGTAAATAAAAGTATTTAAATAGGATATATGAAATATTTATTTTCTAGTATGATTAATATTCTGGTATCATATAAAGAATGTCATATCGTTCTAAATAAAAACAATTGTTCCCTAGTCGCAGAATTCGGTAAGCAGTTTTACAAATAAAATTATTTTGGTTTCATGAATTCAAAATAAGAAGCAGGATTTGTGTATATAATAAGAATCATTGATTTGTTTAAATATTATTTTATATAAATATTCATTTTCAAAGTATTTTGAATTTTTTCATTTTTAACACATGTATATTTTTGAAATAAAACATATATCTGATCTTTACTTATTTTTATTTTTTTCTTCTCCATGTAAAATATGGATTCCACACTATTCTTGTCACTTCTGTATTTTGAAACATAAATTATATTTTAAATAATACTTTTTCACTAACATGCTATTCTGGGATCCATCTTAAGATATTCAAATCTTGTGCATTTACAACCAACTGATTTGAACAACTACACCATATAACCGTTGCGGTTGTCTACAGTACACTGTATTAGATTGACGTTAGCTTTTCTTCCTCATACTGCTGCCAGCATACATGAGGAGATGATACTTGTTATTTCCTTTGTTTATGCACAATACCAAAGAGTAAGAAAAGGGATAGATTTTTAAAAATATTGAAATGTCTTCTCGTCCTGTATAATTTAAATAAATTTTGAACCGGTGAAAATATAAATGGTGAAACACTTTAATGATAAAATCGTTCAAAGATATTTGTTATTTTAAAAGCTTCGCCGTTAGTGCTGTCTGGAAATTAGACATTACTTGAAATGTCCCAAAATAGGTGGGAACATTTTGGAATTTACAATAACTTAAAAATGTAAAAGCTTCACAAATAATGTTACTACTGTTACTTTACAAATATATTTTTTAATACTTTCCCAAATAGATTTAAAAAAACGTACGGTTTTGCCCTCGACCTTATTCATAGGTCAAGACTATTGAATAATGTTTAAGTAATTTATCAAATTGTAAGACAAGGTACAAATATTATATAAAAATGTTATATAATAGTAAAATGAGCTTAGTAACCAAGTGGTTTTACTTCTCAGATACCATTTTTTTTATAACTTTACTAGTTTTTCCCCGCGACTTCGTCCGCGTTAGTTTGGTCAAGAGTAATATATGTAGGTATAGCTGACCAGGCGAACTCTATTCCGTCTTACAGGCCATAAATAATCAGGTTTTTCCTGTTTCAATCAAACAGAATGACTGACATATTAGTTAGTTGTCAAATCTAATGTCAAAAAAAACGTTTGTATGGGAAATAGAAAACGGCTGTTTTTAGGGTTTTCTCGGAAATTATTCCAATTTTTCTCACCTTTGAAACCTTCCCTGGACTTCCAGGAGTATTTCAAGACTAAAATTAGCCAAATCGGTTCAGCCGTTCTCGAGTTTTAGCGAGACTAAGGAACAGTAATTCATTTTTATATATATAGAAGATTAATCGATACTCTTTGTAACATTTACTGGTCGTGAGAACCTGAAGATTCCTTATACCACACGAGTTATGTAGTTTTCCCGGAACCTCTGACTGACCTAGAACAGCATTCTATATAACTTGGTCAACAATATATAAAACTTATGGATGAACGAATAAACCATAAAAAGAAAATTACTACATGTACGAACATCCTTAGCTTGTAGCGTCATACTGTTAAATTACCTACTTGTAAATAACTTGTAAATAAAATTAAACATCAAAAATTTAGTTGATGTTTCCATAAAGATAATATAATGTATTGCAAAATAAAAATATAATAATAACTACTATTAATAAAAGTTACCAAATGTGTTATATGGTAACAAAATTAATGACCTTGACTGGCTGAGCCGGAAAAATGGTATTTTGACTCTAAAGGACAAGGACCTAAAGCGCATAATAAATATTACTTTTAATTACAAATGAAGTTCGGATTACATTCCAAGTTCAATAAGACCGTGTGGTTTTAGTAGGTAATAAAAATGATATTATGTAACCAAATAAAGTGATCAATATTGAATTAACGCTAAATATCATTAGTGAAAATATTTTTAAACATTTAACACTAGTAATGCGAATCTCGACAGATAATTCAGCTCTGAATTTTATGTAGGAAACGTGTTACTTATAATTACAAAGACATTGGCTAGAATTGATACAACAGGATGATGGTAAATTAATTTTTATTTGTAAAATAAATGAAAACCTTTAAAAAATATTTACAAAGTTTTCAATTAATTAAATTATAACAAAAATAATTTTATCTAAACTTATAACATTATCTACATATGACATAAGTTTATCAAATATAATTAAATAAAAAATAGAATCACAACAAGTAATATAATAATGTAAAATTAATTAATTTAAACAATTCCATTACTTCTTCTTTAAGGTCATTCCTTGATTTAGCCTATATACGAACCAATGTACGCAGAACAATTAGGGCAGTAGTGGTCTGAGTTACTGCAAGAATCCGTGCAGTATGGGACACATACACACGGCCAGCAACTAAAATATGGAAAAAATAATTATGAGTTATTTTGTTTTTAACACATAAATATCTCTTGGAGACATCTAGAAGATAAACTTTTTATCTATAGATAAATAATGTTTTCTTTTTTAATATTTACCCGATTAAACATAGCAATGCGGCAAAAAGATGAGTCCTAATGGTGGGATTAGATTCAACTCTGGTGATAATTTGCTGGTGACATGATGGGCAGGTGTACGTAGCAGGTTTAGGGCTCATGGTATTTGCAATCACTACATGCCGTACACCTGGAACCACTTGCACAGCTGCTCCTTGGACTACTGTTACGGGAGGGTTATTAGGATATGGGGAGTATGTTGAGTATCCTGTTCCAGGATTGTTGGGTGGATATGGTTGGTTGGGATTTTCTGGTGGTCCTGGATAGGGCGGAGGAGCTGTTGATGGATAGTACTGTCGATCTACATCTGCTTCCATTGACTTCACTGAAATGAATATAAGGATGTATTAATACTAACAAAAAAGGTTTTTATATTTGTGACGTTATAATAACCAGGTTATTGCTAAGTCAATAGAGGCGATTAAATATTATAGCTACATTTTATACAACTTTTGTCTGTTCCGACTTAAATCTAAAACGGCTAGACCAGTTTTAAAAGGATTTTATTTAGTAGATACGATGTTATATATAATAACTTATTTTCCTTTTTTAAAGAAGTGTTATTTTTTATTTATATAATATACCTACAATAAAACGCACATAAGTGGACGAAATAATGGGCACAGTTAGTTTAAAACAAAGGAAAGTATATCCTTTCGTTCTAATAAGTATAATTAATAGGATTAATAAAAGTGATTTCATAAAACTTTTTTATAGTGTTCACTTTTCCTTTCTTACCTTTGGTTTAAATGAAGGAAATCCCTACTAATATTATAAATGAAAAAAGTCTGTCTGTCTGCCTGTAACGCTTTCACACCTAAACCACTGAACTGATTTTAATGAAATTTGGTACAGAGATAGAGTTGACCTTGAGAAAAAACATAGGATAATTTTTATCCCAGACTTTTGAAATCTTCTCTTGGAAACGCGATATAACCGAACACCACGCGGGCGAAAAGCTAGTAATTGTATAAATAAAACCTAGATATTCTAAAAACTACAAGTTTTTAGAATATTACTACTCCTGACTAAGAAAAGTGATAAGCTTTTGGTTTTAATTCAACTTAACTAAAACCATAATATATAATTGTACTTCGAGACCCTTGCAAATAAATAAAATTAAGTGAAAGATAAATGTATTGATTACTCCAAATAACAGTATTTTATATCACAATCTCACAAACAACTCACTACAATTTGAAATAAGTAGTTTTACTCACTTTTTAATTACTTTTGCAAAATAAAAAATAAGAGAATCAAAAAATAAACGTTGAGCACCCAAAATATATACTGTAATGAAAAAAACTTATAGGTGATTCAGCCTATCTGATATCGTTATCAATGTACTGATAATTTTAATCATACAAGCAACTTGATTCATACGACAACAATACAATACTGTTATTGTAAAAGCATAAAAATGAAAGGAAAGTCATGGAAATATAATAAAAACTTTAATAAGTTACTATAAAAAATATTAATTTCAGTGCTATATCTTGAATATATAAGATTGTTAGTGTAGATGGGTTTTATCTAATGAGTATGATATCTAATGAGTATGATATCTAATGAGTAGATACTCCAAGTATATCTATAATTGTTTTTATAGAAATATATACTTATAATAATCGTGACTGGAAATACTGCTTATTTAATATGAATTTTATAGATAAATTGATCATGTATAAGTCTAAATAAAGTAGCAAAACTCTTAATTATATGTATTAAGAGTTATATTATCTACTTATGGTTTTGTGGATAGTTCAATCCAAATAATCGATTTTATTCAATACGTATTAATAAAAGAGTAGTGCTGTCAGATCTGATAAGTTAATCTTGATCGAAAGCCTATCAGACTTACCCGAACTATCCAATTTATCACTTACTGGAATAATAGCTAATGACAAATAACAAGACCAACATTACAAAACCAGCATTTGTTTTAGAAATCATTTGGTAAAGTAGTCAAACTTATTATTTAATACAAAGTTAAATTTTATCTTGGTTCTTCACAAACTATAAAGCATAGAATAAAACTGTACATTTTCTTTGATCTATATTTAGTAAACTATTTTAAGAAAATATTCTTAAAGTGCCTTCTAGAGTTTAAAGAATATTGTCTCCGAAGTTTAAAGATTTTCCCGTCTCTGTACGTTACAAAATTTTTCTAATAATTTTAAGTATATCAGAAATAGCAGAAAGGATACATTTTTCGAGATAATATATCAAAACAACTTTTACAATGTCTAATATTATTGTTTGAGCTGTGGTCTTAATATGTGTACCTCAATAACAATCTGACCAATTTTAAACTTACTTGTAAAAAGCAATTAACCTACCAATAACTTTACGTAAAAGTTATATTTGTTTAACCTCTTCATTTTGTGTACAAAACAGAAAACTAAAAAAATCCTCTCTTATTATCAGACAAATTAATGACCATGAATTTTCGTATAAAAGTTTTCACAAACAATTTATTATGATACATTGGCACACGTCATCTCATCAATGTATTTGTCTGAATCAAACTCTCAATACGCATTGAAAGGCTCACACAAAGGCCCTATTTGTCCTACAGCTCAGAGCAAGCAATTACTTAATTGAAACGTCGCATCACATCGCCGCTGTACAGAGTTGGGTTATATAACATCAATTTATTTCACAAATAGCACTAAAAGCAATTGATGAAGTCGTTGCATTTACACTAAAGTTAAAAGTTTTCATGAAATGTATTGCAGTTATCATTTAATAAAATTAATTAATTAAAAATTATATATATTAATATTGCATTTACAATAAATAGTTCTAAATGTTTTATTACAATATTTTTTAGTTATATAGAAATTTTTGCTAACACACACCCAAATAAAATGTACAGGTATATTGTTAGAGCTCAACACACACTAAATGAAGTTTGTAGAAGGCATGGATAGGTTGTGTATGATCGTCAAAATTTACGGATAAAATAATATTAACTCCTAAGTATCTAGAAAAACTTCCAATTTGAAAAAATAAATGAAGATCGTCCAATAGTATTTATTGAAATTTCAAATAAATAAAATCCTATTCTATTTATAACTATTACGAAATACAGTATAATTATCGTTGCGGTAAATCCTGCTTATCTATATAATATGTTTATAATATAAATATAAAATTATTGTCTATTCACAACAATTTTGCACAATCCTTGTGTATATTTTCCTGTTTAATACGCATTTTATTTTTCTTGGCTTTCATTTAATCTGGTGGTAGGAGGGAATGACGGTGAAGATGCTCATATAATATTTCAGTAATATCCTATTAATGCTGCTCCTGAAGACACCAAAATTACAAGAAAAAGAAAACACAGGTACAGGCAAACAGTTCCAACATTATTTCCATTATATTATATTTAAATATTTATCTTAAATACAATCATATCCTATATTATTATATTAATTATAGAAAAATAGGTTAAAAACAAAAATCTCAAAAAAAAGTCCCTTGATTAATATACTATTCAATAGCGTAGATAAGAAAACCAATGACAGAACATTTCTTTCTTTCAGCACGATTATTTTATTTCAATTAATGGTGTCGTTAAAAATAACTATCTATTTAATCAACATCATTATAATTATAAGTTTTTTATGTCTTACGTAATGTAAAGGATATAGGAAAATATGAAAAATGGCCGTTCGCGTCCCGCCGTCGGATCGTCACGAATGCACGCTTCGGAAATCCTCTTGGCAGTAACGGAGAGTGACCGCTGGGGTTTCAGTGGACCCTTCTGATCTCGTGGGCCCGTGAATCCCACATAAGATCCTCTGTCTTCCCTAGACGGAGGAGTAGGTATAAAACCTGTCACCACGTGAACAAAAAAAAATAATAATTAAAAAAAAGGTTAACTTAGAGCGAATACGAATCAAATCATTTTTTATGAAAATAGTAATTCACTCTAGAAATGTTTATAGTTAAATTTTCTCATTTAGAAAAGGCATGTTCAGATCTGTTCCATGAGGAACAATAAACATATATAAACTACGGTATTTTTGGTGTTATTTTGGTGTAATTCAGAAATTCACGAGTAATTGCCAACTGTCACAAAGATATGCTTTAAGGATATTTGAAATTTTAGATTAAAAGTGCCTAAATGACAAGACTACTTTGAAATAAAACTAATATTTTTGGATTTATGACGCTTTCATAATAATTTTTAACAATATACTCTCCACACTTTTGACACAGGACTGAAGTTTTATTGTTTTTTCATCAAATCACTAATTACTAACGCTCATAATAACTATACTTATTTTAAAAATGACAGAAAAGCAAGTATCCTTACCTCCTTGAAATAATATTTCGGGTATGAATGTAGTTGAATAGGTAAATCTGAATGACAATAAGTAGGTACATATTATTAAAGGCTCCCATCACACCTTCAAACTAGATAGAGCAATATTCATATATTTCGTTATATAAAAACAAAAATGTTATTCAACGAAAAATTCCAATTAATTATCATAAAGAATAATTAACATAATATTTTATATTATTTAGTATACGTAACGTAACACATTCATCCGAGGTAGTCTTGGAGTCCGTGACGTAGCGGATAAGCTCGAAGAGAGTCGCCTGAGATGGTATGGCCACGTTGCACGCCGGCCTGCGAACTACGTCGGGAGGATTTGCCTTGATATGTGTGTCCCTGGAGCGAGACCCCCAGGACGCCCAAAGAAGCGATGGCTGGACACCGTGAAGCAGGACATGAGAGCCAATGGATTAACCACCGAGGATGCCAAAGACCGGGCAAAGTGGAGGCGTTTGTGTGGGAAGGCAGACCCTGGCTAAAGCTGGGAAATTGCCAGGAAGAAGAAGAAGAAGAAGAAGATTTTATATTATTTAGAAATGTACAAATGTGACCGATCGATAACAACACTCTTTCGTCATGTCGTCTTCAAAGCTCCTGCTAAAATTTTAAAGCAATAATGGACAATGGAATAATAGTACATTATTTTATTAGGAGATATTTGAAGTTACCGCATCAATGTGACCATTAGTATAGAACGTTATCGTTCATTCCTTATTGAAAAATCTTCAAACGAGATAAATAAATGAATGATGCAATAAATATCCCTCAAAGAGTTCTAGTGGATACATTAATTGTTTGATAGGTTAAGTGAAATGTAAATTCACATACGAATATATTGCAATTAATATTGTAGTTTGCTTTTACTTAATTCGAAAGTAGGACAAGACATTACAATATTTAAAATGTAACTTGTAATACGAGTATTTTAATTACTTTCTTCCTAATTTTAGTTTTTAATATATA